ATGTATACGGGATGCATCCCGTGAATTATACAATCGATCTTTGCTCTCTGTTCAATGGTGCACTGTGCCCGCTCCCGACTTACAATTTCACTGGTTCCGACATCGTTCCCCTCCCATCGTCATTGGGCTTAAATCAGCTGGTCCCCGAAATAACATTCAAGATTCCGGACCTCGAGGCGTAAGTTCTGTTGCAGAGGTGTCCTTCTTATCTCATTGCATTATAGCTATGCTCAGTTGTCGCTGACGGAGGTGAATACTGGGGCATTAAAAGCCTGTGTTCAAGCCACATTGTCAAACGGTTGGTCTGCCCATCAAGTGGGGGTGGAATGGGCAACAGGTGGTCTGGCCCTCCTCGCACTGCTTTCCGCTGTCTGGTTCTCAGTCACGCCGGACAGCCTTCTCTCCTTCCGTTTCCTAGATCTCTTCTATCTCTATCAGTGGGCAGCCTCGACCGCTCTTCTGGACCTTAATTATTCCTCGGTTTATATCGCCTTTGCAACTAATTTTGCATGGGCGTTGGGCTTGCTCTCTGCGTCCGCGAACTCCCCCATCCAGCTGGCGATCAACAACATGCGGCATCTCACCGGCGGCACGATGGCTGACTCATCAGGAGGTTCTGCAGTCGCCTACGTTAACAGAAAGCTCAGCCCATATAATGCTGCTGCTGCCATGTTTGTCTCTGGAACATCTCAGCTTCTTGAGATAAATCAAGAACTGGTTCTGATCGGGTCAAATTCGACGTTAGCAAATTACGCTTCGCCTGCAACGGAGCAACTGGATAGTGCAGGTACCGTGCAACTCGTCACTTCTTCGTCTTCCAACGTCCTGCAAGCTGGGATTCCTATTTATGTCAACTATGTTGGGATTGCGACTGCAAATGCGTTCATGACCATGTTCCTGACGGCCTTGATGGTTTTTGCTATATTCCTTGTGGCCGTTGCCATTGGATACGGAATTGTGGCCTACATAGCTCCTCGAAGCCGTGAAAAAGCAGGTTTTCTCCCAGATCTCCGGGAACGATATACGGCTTTGGCTCGAGCGTGGCTTCTCCGTTTGGTACGCTTCATTTCGTTATGAGGAGTGCGTTGTCTCACCCGAAGATGACAGTGCCTCATTGCCTTCCCGCCGGTGACAATATTTGCCATGTATCAATGGACTCTTGCGGATTCGTGGCTTTCTATCCTTCTCTCCGTCCTATGTTTATCGTTGGTTGGGGGATACCTCTCGTATTGTTTGTTTCTTATTGTTCGCCTTGCGGTTCGTGGTACATCATCTACACTTTACGCCGACCCCAAGTTCCTGACTTCCGGCGCGCCCCTCTTCGCGCTATATCGGCCTGAGCGGTACTATGCCGCTTTACCTCTACTCGTCGCCACTCTGCTCAAGGCTATTTTAACTGCGTTTGCCCATGCAAATGGTGAAGTGCAGATTATATTCATCCTGGTCGTTGAGGTGGGGGTACTTGCGACTCTTATAGTTCTTCGCCCGCACAAAACCAGAGGAGCAGACATTCTGGTTACTTACCTGGCAATTACCAGAGTCGTTTGCACTGGACTGCTTGTCTCCTTTGTGGAAGCGATCGGTCTGGGCGCTATCCCTCGCGTGATAATTGGTATCGTTGCTGCCGTTTTTATATCAGTGGCAGTCATTGTCATGTTCATCAACGTACTCGTCAACTTGGCGGCACCTTACTTCAGGAGACATCGTATCACAACATCCACCGATTTCTCAGCGTTAGAGAAGGGAAGACCTGGAGATGAGGAGACGGGGCGGCCGGTGAACCCTACACCGGAGCAAATGGTCCCTCTCGACCCATGTGTTAATCAACCGTATCCCGACAGTTCGTCGCAGACCTCGATGGAGGAGGACCCGAGTGTTTATACGCAAGAGTCGGGATCCACCACACTAGGTTCCCTGATACCACGCCAGTCGTCCCTACAGCCTTCTCAACAATCTCATTCGAGGAACAGCTCCATGTCGCATTCCCGTAATTCCTTTTCTCAGTCGTCAAACTTCGTATCGAACAATGCATCATCACCACAACAATCTCTCCCTCCTTCACCATTCTATTCACACTTGCAGTTGCATAGTAGACAGCCAACAATCGATGAACTTTCAGTCACTACTACTCATTGTTAGATCGGGTATTTCGCGTGTTTATGGGACATTTCGCAGACCCCGTAGCCATTTCCTTTTGCCTTGTAGTTACTGCGTATGTTTTTCCAGACGACATCACCCCGGTGTAATATTCGTAGATGTCAATTGTCGAGTCGTTGCACTTGGAGCTGCTGGGGGTTTTCTCCAGAACAAATAAATGGAGAGGGCAAGTGGCTTGGTGAGTTCATGATAAATCAACACATTAGCTATCCTTGACATTAGCTTAATAATCTAAGGGCCTGAATAGGGCCGCTCAAAGTTAAATGCGGAAAAAACACGCGAGCAAACTCAAGTGCGGTTGAGTTGTGAGTTTGTGGGCAAATATTTAAGCTCCGACTGGATATTCAAACTCCGCCGAAAAGCGTGCATGCTTACTAACAGAGATCTAGCAAGCAATAACAAACTGGTCCTAAGTGTTCCTTGGAACAACTCACCAATGAGGCAGGCAATAGTCTGCTTGCCTTTTCCTTCATATCTCTCACTGAGTTTCTTCTGTGTCTCAGCAGCAGTTTTCACATATAGTACTCCACTAAGGGGTTCATCCTTGAAGATGAGTGTGATTTGCACACATGCTTCCTGGTCCTTGAGGAGCCATTCCTCATACTTGTCAGGATGAGTTGTCTGGTCTGGAGGTTTTACCTCTGTCTGTACCAGCAACAATGGTCCAGAGGCCACAAACTGTTAACACTTTTTGCATTTGGAATTTCCACATTTGATAGTTTGAACCATCATCTGCAAGGGGAGCTATGTCATGGAGTTGACTCAAGCCTTGCAAGACTCTTGTAGAGGTAGAGGCTGATGTATTTGCACTTGTGGATGGGCCTAGAGCCCAAGACATTGATGCCAAAGGTCCAGATGACATGTCTTATTGTATACTGTGGTACCACTTGGTTCAAGTTTGCTACTGTAAGGTTAGAGCTGCTCAGGGCTCATAACCTCTTGAAGGTAGGCTGAGATGAGGGACCTAGGAAGGAGACTCAGGCTTCAGTTAGAAGAAGTCTTATCACAGCTAACCTAGGAAGGAGACTACAGCAGTAAGTCAGTAAGGTAGCTATTAATAAAGGAGAACAGTTACCTCAGGCTTCAGTTAGAAGAAGTCTGAGGTACACCTGAAGGAAAAACAAACATCCTAAGTGTGAAGAATTATTATGTAAGCTTGTACAATGTAAGCAAAAGTCAAGTAAAAGGGACAACACTTCAACAGTTGCCAATCAGATGGTGCCACATCAGTGGATGTTGTCACTGATCCCAATCTTATCCATGCAAGCATTTTGACAAAGGAAGGGTCCACTTTTGCATGCTAATTCTGGATGAATTGAACAATGTGAGTTAACAATCTCCATAGGAAAGCTCTGAATAATTGATGCTGCACCTTCACAGTTTCAGATGAACACCTCAACAGGTTATTCACAATGGCATGTGAGTACAAGGCAGTACCATTCACAGGGCAAAGTTGTGCCATATCTCTGGCAAGGGTGGCATTGGTGCCCCCAGACAGCTTATCCTTTTTATCTGGGTCACCAGCCTTTGCAAGGGTTATGCATTTTGCTACATTGGAAAGCAGCTCAGCAGAAACCATTGAAACTTCATCCAAAACCAAATATGTGACATTGCACCATATCTCTTGTAATTCATCCATGTCAACATTCTGTTCATTGGTATTGCACTGATCCTGTCTCTTGCCTTTGCCCAGGGAACAAGAATTCATGAGGGTGCACTTCAGGTAACCATTTTTCATAAGCATTTAGGCTGAATAGTTTCTCCAAACCATCCAGCCTAATAGCCTCCCAGACCAAGGTCTGCCCAGGGACATCTGGTCATGTCCCAGGGCTATGCAGATTTTTAGGCCCTGGGACAGATGGGATTTCCCACGTAGCCATCCATTCAAATGCAATTATTTGGGATGTCCCCAGACTGCCTTGGGTGACTGGGGTCCCTACTCCTGAAAGTGCAGCTTATATTAGCATTGAAATAGCTGCAGAAATCCTAGCCCCCTTGCTCCTCTGACAGATTTAATCCACAAAGTATCCTTTGACCTATACATCCCCTCCCATCCCACCATGCATAGTAGTATACAATAGTACTTTTCATGTACATCTTTGTGATGTGATTCTGCTGTATTGGGACATCTCACTAGTTGCCAGGGAGATGACCCACCTGGGCCTCCACATTTGCCTTGAAAATTGCAATAATAAATTCAATCAATTTGTGTCTATACCTCATGCAATTTGTACTGTATGAAGGAAGAAGTGAATGGTTTTTGAACACTTGTGTGACAAGCCAATATCTCAAAGTTCCCCACATAGAACATGGGGTTGGTCACCTTTGCAACACCATCTGCAGAGGGCAGAATGTCCCAGATGAGCCTCTGAGGTCATCATGGGGCATTGTGCTGGTCTGCAAAGGTAACTTAGGAGGATGTGCCATCATAGCCCTCTGAGGCTGGGATGGGACATCCCACTGACTTTCATAAGGGGACTTGGGATGTCCCACAGCAGCATCCAAGGCTGCCTTGGGACATCCCACCCTCCCCTTTGCCAACCGTTGGGATGTCCCACAACAGCCTCTAAGGCTACATTGGGACATCCCTCCCCCCTTCTGGCAAGCAGTGGGATGTCCCACAGCAGCCTCTAAGGCTACATTGGGATGTCCCACCCTCCCCTTTGCCAAGCAGTGGGATGTCCCACAACAGCCTCTAAGCCTACATTGGGACATCCCACCTACCCCTCTGCCAACCAGTGGGATATTCTACATTTTACCCATGCATATGTCTTGCAAACATGATGCTCAAAAAAAATGCTATTTAAACACACCAAATAGATTATAATATGTCTCTATCACCCTTATCTGTATTGAACCCTTTTACTTGGAGATGATGGTGGATCCATATCCAGTAGGTCATTCTCCCATTCTTCCCCCCAACAGAATTCTTCCAATGGCATATCACTTTGTTGGTGATATTCATCTGCCAGGGCAAATTCTTCAGCAACACATAGCAACTCATCATCCATCACTTCATCCTCATCCTCTTCACCCTCTGACTCCAATCCATCAAACCTCTCCTCATTATCACTATCAATATATATAACATGACCACCCTGCACCATGCTGTGCAGTTCTTCATCACTTGCACCCCAGTTCTCATTAGGTGTTCCAGGATAGCCTCTAAGTTGCCTCTTCCATAAGATGCACAGACCTGCTAGTCTCAATGCTCTGCAGTCAAGTTCATATGCAAGATCAACATCTGCAATGTGTGTTAGTCATGGTAATGCAATGACACATGTCTCTTACCAGTACTCTGTATGGTTTTCTGCACATGACCCCACTCTTCAGAAAACCACTCTGTCAAATCTCTTCTTTCCTGCAACAGGTGCCTTTCCTCTTCTTCACAACACCCCAGCTCAAGGAATGATCTGATCCCTGAGTGCACTTTTTCATCAGCTAACCATGGGGGTAGTAACCCATCTGAATCATCCCCAAGGCCAATATCCTGCCAAATATCATCATCCACATCCAGTTTGAACAAAGAGTCCCTTGGGATCAGGAGTGGGGCTATTGACCCCTGAGGAGCTTTTCCCTTGTGTATGAGGCCTACAATTTGCAGACACAGATTATTGTAGCTACTGGCAAGCTTGGCTATTCCTGGTTCTCATTGCTTCACAGATGCTTCTGTGTGGTTTTGAAGTCTTTGTTCTTCAAGGCAAGTCAAATACAAGGGTATTCATGAATGATGCCCTCTTACCACTGAGAGTCTGCCAATATGAGTGTTCCAGTCTTTCCAACTCAAACTTTTGTTGGCACAGATGATCTCTGATATGTTTCTTGATTGCTAATGCATGCATGTGAAGCTATGGAACATGGTCTCAATTAGATGAAACCATATTGAAAATACACTGCTACTAACTTGAAGATAAGCACTCTTTTGGATACTAGCAAGATTTGAATGCCCATTTATGCCTAGGGTTGCCCTCTGGTTCTGCAAAGCATCTTTAAAACACTTAACCTTTTGATGACACTCTGCAATTTGGATAGTCAAGCTTGTCATGTCAGCAACCCCATGGAGAAGATCTTTCTCCAGCACTTCTAGCCTGGCCTCATAATTTCCCAATGATTTTGGAGTTGCCATGATTTGCAATATCATATTCTCAGCAGCTTTAGAGCTGTGACCTAATTTGATGGTGAGCAGGTATCATTATTTATATCAGCAGCTCACAAGGAGCTGGCTTTGTCTGTGCAGAGACTTGAGCAACCCATTCAGCTTGAAGAGTTGGGATATCAACTCCACATCTCCTTAGGCCTCTGTTTGCAGCAGCCTTCTTTTCTTGGCAATGATTCCAGTGATGCAAAAGCCACTGGCCCAAACCAGTGAGACACTTCATGTCCAGGTGGCACACCTGGAAGTCAATAACAAAGAGGCATTAATGATACTGAATAATATGTTAGCTTGAAACAGATGTGGCATACTGCACACATACCCCAGAAACATGAAGAGATGGTATCAGCCCTTTGATTGAACTCCAAAAATGCTCACATCCCTCTCCATCAGATAGCCCAAATCCTTCACATTTTCAGGGGTGATAGATAAGCTGACATGCCCATTGATGACCAAAGGCATGAAATACTGAGATGGCAAAAGAAATATGTGGCAGAAATGACTTGAGAAAACCCCACTTCCTGCAGCTCTGTTCCAGTTGACAACCTATGTCATATAACAGCCCAATATGAAAATTATCTGGGAGGTGGCCAAAAAGAGATTTGATGAGGGCAAGTGCATAATGTTGCCTCTCCCCAGCTGAAGTCATATTTGCAAGGTAAATGACATGATCATGACAACAGAGTAGGGCCATGACACCAGTATCTGAAAAGAACTGGGTACTTGCCTACACTGCCATCAGACCAATGGAGTCAGAATAAATGATTAAGACTCACTTTCTGGTGCCTCTCATCAGCTGCAGTAAAGGACTCATTACAACCCTTCAGCACTGACATTGTTATCCTCATTCCCTCTTCAAACTCATCCTCCCCATCACCAAGATAATTCTTTTTCAAAGCCTGCCCACTCCTCCTTTGGGTTGAAGACTTTGACTTTTGCAACTCATTAACCTCATGCTCCATAGCACAAATATCTTCTTGTGAAAGAAAGACTGTAGCTGTAGGGTTTACTGGATCATCTGGATGCCTACTTCTGCACTTCTGAGTAAAACAAGCATCAATGCAAACAATTGCATCAACATCAGAAAAGCTAGAACAAAGGAAATTTTAGCAGTTGACAAAACTATATCCACCAAGTGACATACCCATGTTCACTATTATTGCTCTGCCAGCTCTGGCCACCAAAGCATAGAGGACAATGCTGTTGTAAGTATTCTGATGGCCTCATCTTTGAACTGAGGACATCATTGTCTGGGGAACTTGGCAATGGGATTGCAGAGGGGATGTTTGATGGTGGACTAGCAGATTCTTGCAGTTGTTGTTGGACATATTCATCAAGGGATGTGTCCAGAATACAATACCAGTGATATGCATTACTGAACCTCCAGTGTATACCCTCCTGCAAGTATCATCAGCAATGATCCATGAATGAGAAGAACAACCAAAGTATGCATTAATAATATAGCAACATCACCACAAACAATACCAACAAACATCCTACCCTATCAATATAACACTACAGCAGTCCTAAATAGTCATGCATCAGATTAAGATATACTACCTACATAGCAGAGTCATCTGTACTACAGTCACTATGGCAGTAATGTATGTTTTATGAAGTGGAAAAAATGGGGTAATGATACAAAACATGACAATTCCATACCTTTGTGTCCACCTCATAACCCATAGCTGCAAGGTATGCCTCAAGGGACTCACACCATGCTGAAGTGTTTGGAGGTATGCACATGAAGAGTTGTCAGACAAAGCCAAGAAGCTGTAGGCTAACAGCAAGTGTTGGCCCCAGTGGGGCATAGGGGAAGTAGCCCATCCAAAGGAGTTGGAGGGCTGCAGGTGCACAAGGACAGACAGCCAGATCAACTGATTGCAGAGCTGCCATGAATGCATTTAAGCAGAGGAAAATGACAAAGAACACAGAAATCTCACCATTGAAATCAATACAAATGACTCTCAGTTTTTGAGTCTGGTGACAACCACACATTGGCAGTTCATAGTCAACAGGATTCTGGAAGTGGTTGGATAGTCATCGATATGCAAGATACAGCTGAAGGAGGGAAGGGATGACAGTGTGCAACCATTGCTGCCATTGCTTCTTTTTTTTTTGGGCATTCCTAGATGGTGACAAGAGCAGGTCTTGGCTAATATGTAGCCCATTGGTTAAATGGTTGAAAGTGGCATCATGGGAGAGGTCACATTCACTACCCACAGATAGCTCTAACAGGCAAGCAGCACTTGAAGCAGAGTGGTGTTGGATGTGTGGGTCAGAGGAATCACTGGGGTGTTGTGTGAAAGTGTGATGGCCAGGTAAGGTGAGCAAGTGCTCAACAGGAAGGTAAAGCCCCACAGTTTTGGGAACACAGCATGAAGGTGCAGCAGCCTGATGGTAAACAAGGACCACAAGATCATCCACATGGAGCAAGTCAGGAATCTGGTTCATCGGGGCAGTAACTCATACAGAGGGACCACACCTAGTAAGCTGTTTCAGTCAACAAAAAGACATCTATGAAATTTGGTCAGATGCATAAACTGTCTAGGTGAGTTAGTGGTAGATGACGATCCTGCAACACCAAGTTACAGGACTGTGACCAGGACACTGAATCCAGGTTGCTGGAAGGCAACCCCAAGATGCCACCAGCATGTCTCCAATAGTCAGCCTCCAGCATAGAAAAGTGAACTGACCTTTGCACATGACTAGTGAGGGTGATGGGGAAAGAGATGAAGCAAGTGTGTGATGAACAAAATGAGATTGCAATTGTGGTGTGCTATGAATATCATTCAGGAAATGTACAGAGTAAAAATGGTATCAGGGAATGATGAAGGAGGTTACCAACTATTTCAACCATAACCACACAGTGCAGTTGGAATAAGGCAGGGAAGAAGGGGCAGACAACCAAAAGTATCAAAGAATGACTGTACATAAAATATAGCCAACTTCTTTTCCATTGCCCAGACATGCAATGATGATGCTAATGGCATAATTGGCTCCACCAAGTCCAAGGGGCATCCTGGCCATACAGCAAGTAATGCCCAAAGCTTCTCTACATACTCCCATTTCTATTGAAAGCCAGATGAGCCAAGGCCTTGATTTTGCTGAGGGAAAGGCTCAGCACACATGGTGAGTTCTGAATCACCCGGGAAAATCTGCATAGAGTTCAGAAACAGTGCATTCCTGGTGAGGTAAAATTGTACATACCTGCTGGACATGATCAAGCCACTCTGAATCCTGATTTGACCACAAGCTAGGCATCATCACATGGTCAAGAGTGACCAGCTCAAACCAGAGTTGTTTTCATATAAATCTCATAAAACCTTGCTTTTCATCATCTGATTGATGGTAGCAAGGTCTGTGAAGGAAATTGAAATATCCCAGAATTGTACATGGCTAGGTATGTCATGTTGGAGGCTGATGAGCTCAGGACTGAAGAGGGCAGCAGATTCATGTAGTCAGTCACCAGAAAATGTGGATGAAATCTGCTTGGGAATTGTGTTCAGGAAATCCTGCCAGGACCAAGGGATAACAGGAGATGCATCCAAGGCAGAAAGACAAGTGATCCAACCCGCTCGAGAGACTAGCCAATTCCTCAGGTACCTCTGCTGGCAATTGGAGGACTCACCCCTCACAAACAGACTCAGGCTGGGAAAGAAGTAAGCTACCTTGGGCACATTGGGACTAACCCTTTTTGCATCCTTATTCATGTCCTTCAGGGCAGCATGCCATGCAGACATAGCAGGGGGAATAGCTGGATTGCTGAGGTCTTCCCACAGTTTGGGATTCAGAATGACCAACAGCTTGGCTCCTCTCAAGCCTGCAGGGGGATCTGAGCAAAATGTTAAACACACTGAGACAAAATGAATAGGATATGTATATGGCTGATTATGTTGTCAAGCCCTGCCTGTCCTAACAGCTCCAGTACTTGAACTTGCACCACTGGAACTTGCAGCATTGGAAGCTGTGGGACCCATGCTTGTGGGAGTTGAGGCCACACCACTGCTGGTGCATGGTGGTTCTGGCCAGGGAGCTGCAAATTTCTTGAGCCCAATTGCTGGGCCTTGTCAAGTATGCCTGTGGTGCAATTCACCAGGGTGGTACCAGGCACTGTGCCATTTCAGCATCTGTCCAACCTCAAAAACCTCAGGATCCATGACTATGTCATGAGGGTGCATAATCCCAATGGTCTTCAACACTTGCATGTCTGGGAGTACATGATCAGGTTTCCAGACCATCCAGACAGGCATGCATATTTCAAAAAGGCACTGGAAAATGGTGGGGTCTGTCATGAATGCCCCAATCCAGTGGTCAAATGAATTGACAAAAGTGCCCATAGCAGGGTCAAGGTCTGTGTCCAGATATTCTAGCATGCCAAAGATGTCTAGGAGGAGGCATTGAAAAAAAGCGACCAATATGACTGTCTTGAAATGTAAATGGGAGTTGCTAGAGAAATTTTTAATTAACATGCCTCGTGTTGATATGTTGACTCCTAGATGATGATGATGATGCACATGCTTGCAATGCTCAGACTGTTTCTTGTGCCCAGTCCCCACTTCCCCCATCTTCACCACCCACATATGAGTCTGATGACTCTGCCCATCCTGTAGGGGATGTTGTCCATCCTTGCCAAGAAGGTGGCCTGATCTATACTAGACTTCAGAAGAAGGGCAAAGGTAGGGCTATAGATGCCAAGGACATTGATGCTGCAAACCACAGTGACTGTGACACCCAACTCACAAACCTCAAGAAGTGAGGGAATCTGTCCACAGCAGTGTTAGATGAGATACATGCTTTTGCAAAGGATGTCAAGACAATGGCAGAAGAACTTGGCCAATGGCACAGGTGGTCTACATGCAACATACTTGTTGCTGTGGGATTTAGTGTTAAGGCTTCTCATACCAAAATTAATGAAGCCAACCTCTTCCACTCATGGTATTGGGCCACACAGCCCAAACCAGATGGTGGTATGGCATTCCTCCCTCTCACATCTACTGTTCTAATGTCCTGACCAGCTGATTGAAATTCAATTGACAATTTGATTACGAAGGAGTACAACACCCTCATGATAGGCATCCCCAAGGATGACTTTGCAACAAGGAGGGAAAAGTTTAAAGCTGTCTATGAGTGGAGTGAGAGCTCCTCTGCCATACCAACTAATCAATCTGTCAAATCTATTGCAGCTAGAGTGGACAATGCAAAGACACAATTTTCTGGATTGGTATGTGGTTGCAACTGTGCAGCCATCGATTCTGATCATTCCACAGGTGGAGGTGTGGTCCAATCTCGAGGATATTGAGATAGTTGGAGTGGTAATGTATGTTGGACAGGACCCTGCAGGATATCAAACTTCTGGCATATTTGGAGGCTCTGAGACAATAAGAAACTTCATCAATGAAAATGGCATTGATGTCCAGTCACTCATGGATAAGTATACCACAATTTTCAAGTAAGTTTATTTCTTGCATGTTTCATTTGACCTCACGGGATTGTTGTAGGTGTCTCAGGAACAGTGATGGTGCAGATGCCAGGGTGGCTGGCACTGGTTCCATTGGAGATGTGGGTTCTGTGCTGGAACTACATTGCTGTACAAAGGAGACTCTGAGAGACTGCAACCACAGAGTATTTGGAAGCATGATGAAGGAGAAGATGTTGGCTGCATTGAGAGATCTGCATGGTAAGTGATTCTTGTGCTGTATGTGCATTTATCTTGATCCTTTGCTCAGTCACATGTGGCATTGAAGTCAGTGATCCCCAGAAAGTTTCCTGGCACCAGCTTCTCAAGTTTTTGCAGAAGAGCCACCTCACTATTGTCAACTGGACCCATAGTGTATCTCCACTGGGCCCTGCTTTCAAGTACAAGAAACTTAAGGCTGGCCCTTTTTGTCAACTTGTAGTACCTTACCTTTGGAGAAAACTGGGTCTTTTGTATGACAGGCAAACCAATGATGAGGAAGAACAAGATAGACTGGATGATGTGCTGGAAATTGAGATTAAGTGCTGGAATGAAGGTATTCCCTATTTTATTCATCCAGTTGGATGCTGAAGTTCTGTGTAGAGGTCATCAATATTTTGGATGCTGACCCTTTGAAGGGTGAGATCACACTCATCAACGCTACTGATGGTACTGTTTTTCAGCAGATCTCAGATGATCCAGAGTGGAAGAAGTCCCTCAAGGAAATGGATCACCAGCAGCAAGGCATAGAGGTCCTTCAACAGCCACAACCCTGACTGCAGCAACAACTCCCTTTTCCCTCTTGGAAGTGACCCTGCATGGAGGCATCAAATTGTAATACTATTGGTCCCCAGGTAAGTTCTGCTCTTTACTCAATATCCAGTATCTGCTGACATTTGCAAGGCTTTACAGTCTGACCATCAAACTGCACCATGCAATCAATGCTGGGATGTGTGCCCCATTGTGCAAGACTCATGCTGTGACCTGTCCACAATTCCAAGCAATGTGCACACTTGAGAGCCTGGCCCATCTGAGCCTCCTGCACCAACTCTGCAATATGGGGTAGGATTTGGTTCCTATGGTCTGATAACAAGACTAATGAAGCATTGTATAGGATCTATGTTGGGATAATCTTCCAAGCCATCCTCACATGCGAGAGGCTGGCCCAGCCCAGCAGTCTTTTCCCAGATGACAAGTGAGTATCCAGGCCTCTGACCTTTGGTAACAAGACTAAGGAAAAATTATGTAGGATTCTTGGGGTGATTATATGAACTATCATGATCCTGGCCCATCTAATATCCCATATCATGTGAGTAATTTGATTTTGCAGAGGTTTCACCATTGACTTGCATTCTCTCTAGGCATTACCTTCTGGCCACCACAATCAATTTCCTCTGTCTTGCCAAGGATTCCATCATGTTCCATCTCAAACCAACCATCCTTACTACAACAGTCCATATACTAACAACTACTACCCTCCAACCCAGTCAGGTGAACCTCATTGGGTTAACAGGGGTAATGCTGCACAATATGAGGATGACTTTGCTGAGGAGTATATAAATGAAGATTACTACTAGTGTAGTTTTTGCTTCCCCTACAACATATTTGTCATGCATCACTTGTATATTGATGTTGCTGGTGTCAGCAATGATGTTACCATCAGATTTGGGGGACAAGTCTGTGGCTCTCCACTCAGTCCTGTGCCTTTCCTATTGCTTTTTGCACCACTCATTCCCCTTGCTGAGACCTCTCTGGGGGGGCCTCTTTTGTCTAATTCCATGGAGCCACTATTGAGATATCACTGTTTTTGTGTTCAGAGGGCAGTGAGACAGTTTTTCATGTAGCTCAGGATCCAACGGTCCAATCATGGTGGCTCCTTTTTTTCCATGTTTATCTATGAGTACCTGACCACAATGTTCACCAGGTGCTACAACCACTGGACTGGCTGCTGGAGAGTGGGGTGGGATGTCCCAATATAACCCAAGAGGGTGTTCTGGGACATAGCCTCAGCTAGTGTGGCTGTGGCTCAGCTCCAAAGGCTGACCTGCTCAACAACAAGCAGCTTAGTCACTATGACAACTATTACCAGATGTAGCCTTGTGTTGCCACATACCAAATCCACAATAATTATTTTAATACTCAATAATATAGATGTGGTATGGCCCTTGGCTTAGGACAGCTCCCTGAGCCACAGCAACACTACTCCCAGCTGCCAGAGGGGGAAGTGGGATGTCCCAATGTAGCCTTATGATGGAAATGTGACCAGAGCTGGGATTGAAGCAACCTCTTGGGTGATAACCAGTGCTCTAACAGTTGAGCAAATATATATTGTCCAGGTACTAATATCAGTAGCATGGGGGTAAACCAGTGACATGGGAACAAGACTATGTGAAGAGCAATGCACCATTCCCCACTTGCTCAGAGGCTGTTGTGGGACATCCCACTGGTTGCCAGAGGGGGGGAGGGATGTCCCAATGTAGCCTTAGAGGCTGTTGTGGGACATCCCACTGGTTGGCAAAGGGGAGGGTGGGATGTCCCATCCCAGCCTCAGAGGGCTATGATGGCACATCCTCCTAAGTTACCTTTGCAGACCAGCACAATGCCCCATGATGACCTCAGAGGCTCATCTGGGACATTCTGCCCTCTGCAGATGGTGTTGCAAAGGTGACCAACCCCATGTTCTATGTGGGGAACTTTGAGATATTGGCTTGTCACACAAGTGTTCAAAAACCATTCACTTCTTCCTTCATACAGTACAAATTGCATGAGGTATAGACACAAATTGATTGAATTTATTATTGCAATTTTCAAGGCAAATGTGGAGGCCCAGGTGGGTCATCTCCCTGGCAACTAGTGAGATGTCCCAATACAGCAGAATCACATCACAAAGATGTACATGAAAAGTACTATTGTATACTACTATGCATGGTGGGATGGGAGGGGATGTATAGGTCAAAGGATACTTTGTGGATTAAATCTGTCAGAGGAGCAAGGGGGCTAGGATTTCTGCAGCTATTTCAATGCTAATATAAGCTGCACTTTCAGGAGTAGGGACCCCAGTCACCCAAGGCAGTCTGGGGACATCCCAAATAATTGCATTTGAATGGATGGCTACGTGGGAAATCCCATCTGTCCCAGGGCCTAAAAATCTGCATAGCCCTGGGACATGACCAGATGTCCCTGGGCAGACCTTGGTCTGGGAGGCTATTAGGCTGGATGGTTTGGAGAAACTATTCAGCCTAAATGCTTATGAAAAATGGTTACCTGAAGTGTGCCAGGAGGGAACTCAGATGAGGCTGTAGAGGGTAGGGGGTCCAGACCAGCATAGTGAGGTGTGTGGATGATGAGGATGTCATCATTTTTTTGAAGGGGGCACATGGAGTAGGGAGGCCCAGGGGTAGAGGTGAGGTCACAGCCACTTGTGGGCTTAGTCAGATGAATGGAGACATGGACAAAGCAGAGTAGAGCAGAACATCACAACACAAGACAGGGCAGCCACCAGTAGTCAACAATCCTATGAGACTAGTCCACCAGCAAGGAAATGTAAGAGTAAGAAGTAAGAAACTGCTGGGAGTATAACACCCAGCAATGTGGTCACAGGAGGTTATGAGGTTGTGAGAGGCAGGCAAAAGATCTGACTTCATATACATAGAGATTTGTAATGGGTATGCATGGGCATGTGGCAGAATATGTGAAATTAGCCTTTATGGAAGTGAAGGAAATAGGGGCTAATTACAGGGTCCACTCAGAAGCTTCTGAATATTGATTTGTAGATAGCCTGCATTGGTGCCAACACCTCCAAGAACATTCAAGGGCAGTTATAAAGTGCTGAACAATGTTGAACAGTTTCAAACAGCTTCCACATCTCAGTGTGGAGCTGTTTCAGAGGCTTGGAAACTTTCACAAATACATATCTCATGTATAGAAATGGACATACAAACATTCATAACAATTGGAGCAATCAGTAAGAAGTTACAATGATTAACCCCTATCAAACCTTTGAGAACTGTGATGCATTGTAACTCAGGAACTGCTGTGCACAATGACCATAGTTACATGGTCATCTTAGGCCTTGGGGACAGGCCTAGGGAGCAAGAATGCTTGGTCAGGACTGGTCATGAACCAGTCCTGACCAGTCCCATCTGGCAATCTATCCATCACTGCATTTACTACAATGTACAGCAATGGGTTCCTGGTCATCCTAGACCTTGGGGACACACATGAGGAGCAGTAATGCCTGGTCAAGACTGGTCATGGCCAGTCTTGCCCAAGCCCATCTTGGCTATCAGCCATCTGTGCACTTGAGTGGGAATGAATCTGGGGTGGCCCAGACTGGTCTGGACTGGATGATCATGGTCACCTTCTTACATAAGAAGTATCCACATGAACAGTCTGGGAATGCTCAAGGCCAGTGATGGGGAGTCATGACTGGATATTCAATTGCAGGTAGTCATAGGAGAAGTAGGTAAGTTTATCATAGGAATATACAGTTGGGGACAAACAAATATGACAATTTCAGTCATCAAATTATCCACACTTGACACAATGTTCTGAAAGTCCAAAAACTATATAATAGGCATACTTAGGATACATAGAAACAATCTGCATGAGCAGAATTTTGCAATACTGAGTTTTGAAAATCTTGACCCCCCAAAATTTGGTGGACCCCCCTAAAATTTCACAACAAATCTGAAAAATGCAGAACAAAGAGTATTTGGTTAGTACAAGATGTTGCTGCCATATGAACATGAGATGGCTCACCTGTGGCAAGTGGAAAATTTGAGATTCAAGCCAAGTTTTCAGTTGCCTTCAAACAAGAACATCTTGCAGCTGCCCTTGAAAACATGTTATTGCCTGGAATACAACTGGTCTGCACAATTGGAATTCTGTTAGTACTGATGCAGCAGGTTATGTGTTGTCACCCAACACATCTGAACCTGATGAAGGAGAGTGCCTCCATCAGAGTAAACAAGCATGGTCCTTGTCTTCAAGTACTTCTGACCCAGACACATCAGATGATGAGGAGAAAGACTGGTGGTGTGGTGCTGTATTTGACAGCCTGAAATATGTGGCTGATGAAAGTAACTTGGATGATGAACTTGAAGAAGGTGGCAATGACACTGTTTTCAGGAGTTGATGAAGCTGAGTTTTGTGCATGGTTGGAGGCACTTGCTGTCAGTGCTGGTGATGACCCCCTTGACATGACATGGTTGCCTCTGAAACAAGCCAAACATGCTGCCCAATGCAAGCAAAAGTCAGTTGGTTGCCCTAAAGAGTACAAAAATGGACCTGATGTGGGAAGCAAGTCAGAATGTACAAAACAGCAGTACAAATGGTTTTTGGCAGACCAGAAATCACTTTCCAACCTTGGATTTACTTTCTCAGGCCAGCAAGTTCAAGTTCCACTGATCTCCCAAGCTTCAAACACCCTCCCTGTCATCTCAGCTGCACATGCCATGGTTAATGATGAAGCAATGGAACCATTGATCTTGTCACCCCCTCTTTCATCAGCTGAAGAACTTGGAGAGACCCTTTTCACTACCATCTCATGTACCAACACTCAGGACTCTTTGGGATGCCACTCAAATGATGTATTGATGCCATTGAATGCAGGTGGACTTGTAGAGGATGCTGAGGATGCCTGGGCAGGTGTACCTGAAGAGCAGGAAAGGGATAGTGTCGAGATTAGGGGATGGGATGAACTGTGGGAGCACATCAAGCATGATCTTGCAAGAGGTGCAAAAACAATCCTACCATTGTCTTGTTGTCTTGTGTCAATCAGCTTATGCTGATTTGAAGCTTTGCTACCCTCCACTTGAAAGGTCTTGGATGTGTTGAGGCAAGTCTGGAAATTGCTCATCAGTGGCATGAAGGTGAGGGAAAACATTTTGCACAAAAGGTCAGGGCACTTGCTCATCATTACCAAGTGTTTGAACAGCTTCCTGTGGAAAAGTGAAGAGGATGAGCAAATGCTCTGAGCCCCCTTAAAGACAAATGACTTCAGCTGGCTGCCTGCCAATGGCATATGTTGCAAGAAGTCAGCCAAGTCACTCTGCAGCAATTTCAGCACACACTTAATGAAATGATTATTCCCTCACTTGGTATTGTACCACTCTGTGAATGGATGGCATGATACTGGCTGCTAAAATTGGGCTGGCAGCAGACAAGACTTCAAAAGGGTGTCTACATGGATGGCCATGAGCACAATGATGTCAAGAAGTATAGGCAGGGAGTTTTTTTTACCTGCAATGGCTGCATTTGAGTGCCACATGGTACACTTTGAAGGATTGGAGTTGCTTCATGTTGATCCACAGCTTGCACCTGGCAGATGGAAGGTCATTGCAATCTTTCATGATGAATGTTGCTGCCACAGAAATGATTATAGGATGCATGCATAGTGAGTGGCAACAGCCATGATAGACCTTGTACTCAAATGCTTCAGTTTATTACCTGGTCAACAAATCTTGCAGCAAAAAGGAAGAGGGCACATTATCCATGTTTCTGGATTTATTAATGCAGAAGATGGTCAATTGGTGCACTGCAATGAGTCAGGAAATATTGTGGCAGATGCACAAGA